CGTGGCTTTGCTTCAAACCCGAGTGACGTGCTATGGAAAAGTAGTTACTGCTTATAAAAAGAAGTTTACTGCTTGTTTTTGAATTATTAGGCTGGCCAGCAGTACTAATGCATTTTTAGGTTACCGGATTTGGGGCTAAAGATTAGGAAACGAGTACGTGTAGAGCCAGCGTTCCCAGCACTGTCTTCCTCCTCCTCATATTTATGGTTCATAGGCCAGACTTTGTGTGTACTGGCCCAGTCCATGGAAGGATGAGCACTTTGGAGTGGCAGTTCCCATGCACAGAGAGCAGGGATCATTTGTCTGCTGCCCTTGCTTGGTATTTAAAGAGGTAGGCTGGCAGGCTTTCTTCTGTCAGACTACAGCCCATCACTTGGTACCTTCCAAGATCTTTGCTTGCAAGCCAGTCCTTTTTAGAAGCGGTCCTCTTTCCAGAAGACTGGTCAGTTTCTACCCTAGGTGGGTGAGTGAATGGGATTAAGCTTCCTTTTCCTCCCTTAGAAGTGAATAGACTAAGCAAAGTTCCAGGCCTTGGAGGAACAGGTTGGAGTGATCTACCTTGGAAGGTGATGGACTGTCCTTCGTTGGAGGTTTTTAAACAGAGATTAGATGGCCATCTGCCAGGGATTCTTTAGCTGTAATTCCTACAATTCAGGGGGTTTATTTATTTATTTATTTCACTGTTTGTTTGTTTGATTGGTTGATTGATTGAGTCTCTCTCTCTCTCTCTCTCTCTGTGTGTGTGTGTGTGTGTGTGTGTACGTGTGTGTACACGCACACCCCTTTCAAAACAATTTACAAAAAAGAGAAAAGATTGAAATATCAATAAGAAAAGTCAGCAAGAATAATAATTTCAAAAAGTTGAAATAATAATAGGGTACATACATATTTGGGACGCGGGTGGCGCTGTGGGTTAAACCACAGAGCCTAGGACTTGCTGATAAGAAGGTCGGCGGTTTGAATCCCCGCGACAGGGTGAGCTCCCGTTGCTCGGTCCCTGCTCCTGCCAACATAGCAGTTCGAAAGCACGTCAAAGTGCAAGTAGATAAATAGGTACCGCTCCGGCGGGAAGGTAAACGGTGTTTCCGTGTGCCGCTCTGGTTTGCCAGAAGCAGCTTAGTCATGCTGGCCACATGACCCGGAAACTGTCTGCGGACAAACGCCGGCTCCCTCGGCCAGTAAAGCAAGATGAGCGACGCAACCCCAGAGTCGGTCACGACTGGACCTAATGGTCAGGTCCTTTACATACATTTCTAGATTTGTCTGGCAGGGCAAAAAGCCCAGAATAAAATTTAAAATATTAACTGATGCAAAGGACAGAGGTGGATTTGCCCTGCCAGACTTAAAACTTTATTATGAATCAGCAGCATTTTGCTGGTTGAAAGAATGGCTGCTTCTTGAGAACACAGACATTTTGGATTTAGAAGGTTTCAATAACGTTTTTGGGTGGCATGCATATTTGTGGTATGACAAGGTTAAAGCACATAAAGCATTTAAAAACCATATTGTCAGAAGAGCTTTGTTTAATGTCTGGATAAGATATAAGGACTTACTTGAAAATAAAACCCCAAGGTGGCTATCACCGATGGAGGCGAAGGCTCAGAAAAAACTTAATATGGAGGCCAAATGGCCAAAATATTGGGAGATTTTGGAACAGGAGGGTGACAAATTGAAATTGCAGTATTTTGAGAAACTAAAGAACAAAGTGAGAGACTGGCTTCATTATTATCAGATAATGGAGGCATATAATTTGGACAAGAAAATTGGCTTCCAGGTGGAAAAATCAAATTAGAAACAGAACTGTTAGAACCCAAAACTAAGATTCTGTCAAAGATGTATAACTTGCTGTTGAAATGGAATACTCAGGATGAAACGGTTAAATCTGCTATGATTAAATGGGCACAAGATGTTGGACATAATATAATGTTTGCTGACTGGGAACAGTTGTGGACCACAGGTATGAAATTTACGGCATGCGATACCTTAAGAGAGAATATTATGAAAATGATATACAGGTGGTACATGACACCAGTCAAGCTTGCAAAAGTATATCATTTGCCCGATAATAAGTGTTGGAAATGTAAAGAAACTGAAGGTACATTCTTTCACCTTTGGTGGACGTGCCCAAGGATTAAGGCTTTCTGGGAGATGATATATAATGAAATGAAAAAGGTATTTAAATATACCTTCCTGAAGATACCAGAGGCCTTTCGCCTGGGCATGGTCGGCCAATTGGTGTTAAAGAAGGATAGAACTTTCTTTATATACGCTACAACAGCAGCAAGAATACTCATCGCGAAGTATTGGAAGACACAAGATTTACCCACCATGGAAGAATGGCAGATGAAAGTGATAGACTACATGGAATTGGCGGAAATGTCTGGCAGAATCCGAGACCAGGGAGAAGAGTTGGTGGAAGAAAACTGGAAGAAATTTAAAGACTATTTGCAGAAATATTGTAAAATTAATGAATGTTAAAATGATGTTGGATTGAAATGAAACGGCTTTAGCAATAAGGTTAAAAAGAATATGTAAAAATGGATTGATAAGCTATAATATGTTAAGATATAGAATTAAGATAAAAACAAAGAGGGAATGGATTTGCTGAATCAATCATGTGAACTGGAATACAAAAAAGGGAGGTGTGAGGGGGTCAGGAAACAACTAAATGAAATATAAGATATGAAAATACTGCTTTGTTTTTAATTGGTTTTTCATTTTTTCATGTATTTTGTATTTTTTCTGTTGCATTTTTGTACTTTTTATATTTTTTTATTCTATTTTTATTTTTCCTTGTTACTTTGTTATTTGTTATTTGCTCTTTTTTAATTTTGTAACTCTTTTTTGTTTGTAAAATCTTAATAAATATCATTTTTAAAAAAATACATACATATTCAAAGTCTCATCAGCTTTCTAAACATATGGGACTATATGGGTTGGTGGCTTGGATGAGGGCCAACAAGTTGAGTTTGAATCTTGGGAAGACTTTGTGGGCAAGCAGTTCTCAGTTCTGGGAATTAGAGAACTCACTGGTTCTGGACAAAGTTGTACTCTGTCTGAAGGGGCAGGTGCTTAGTTTGAGGGGTGTTCCTAGATCCACCTCTGTCACTGGAGACTCATGTGAACCTCTGTAGTGAGGAGTGCCTATTATCATCTTCGGGTGGTAAACCAACGACTCCTTTCCTGCACAGTGATAGCTTAGCCGCTGTGATTCATGCATAGGTTAGATCATGATAGGAATACTGTGATGTGTATTATTATTATTATTATTATTATTATTACAGTGGTACCTTCGTTGTCAAATGGCTTAGTTGTCAAACAAATCAGCTCCCGAATGCTGCAAACCCGGAAGTGAGTGTTCCGGTTTCCAAACTTTTTTTGGAATCGGAACGTCCGACACGACTTCTGCGGCTTCCAGTTGAGTGCAGGAAGCCCCTGAATGGTTTTCTGACCATTCCGGGAGTCAAATGGACTCCCAGAACGGATTACCGGTAAGTTCGACAACCAAGGTACCACTGTATTATTAACTGGCCCTTCACCCCAAGGTCCTAGGGTGTGTTACTACAATTAAAACACAATGTTAAAAACAGTTTAGAACATCCCACAGTCATAGGAAGAAGGTGAGTCATAAAAATATACTTCCTAGGTGTCAAAAGCCAAGGTTTATCTTCAGCATTTGCCTAATGTTGTACAGTGGTACCTTGGGTTAAGTACTTAATTCGTTCTGGAGGTCCGTTCTTAACCTGAAACTGTTCTTAACCTGAAGCACCACTTTAGCTAATGGGGCCTGCTGCTGCTGCTATGCCGCCGGAGCACGATTTCTGTTTTCATCCTGAAGCAAAGTTCTTAACCCAAGGTACTATTTCTAGGTTAGCGGAGTCTGTAACCTGAAGCGTATGCAACCCGAGGTACCACTGTATAATGAAGATGTCGAAACCCTCCTCAATGGGGACGAAGTTCCACAAGCTAGAGAATGCCCTTTCCTGGTCAACCACCACCCCAAGCTTCTAAGGGTTGTAGAACTACCAAGAGGGCCTCATCTGCAGATCTTAATGCCTAAACGGGTCTGAATGGAAGCTTTCACAGGGCCAACCCACCCATAAGACAGGGTTAGGCAGCTGCCTTGGGTGTTCCACCACCAGCTTCTGGTAAGATCTTGCCAAAACCCATCATAGCGCTCCACAACCCAGGTAAGGGAGGTTGCGGGGGCACAGCGGCATGACACATTACCGTTTGCCACAGGCCACGGGATGCGCCACCCCAAGCTTTCAGTTACGAATAACACAGATAATCAAGATCCAGCCTCAGTTGCATGTATGTGTGTGTGTTCAATAGTGTCCAACCGCTTTTGAGCTCACATGAGTCTTTATTTAAAGCAAGGGTGGAAAACATTTTCAGCTCCTTTCTGGGCAACCTGCTGATGAGAGTCTCAAGGGCCAGATAGCAAGGCCTGGAGGGCCACATCTGGCTGCCGCTCTTGAGGTTCCCCATCCCTGATTTATTGCTTTTCATTCTCATGGCACGCTGGCAGTTTGGGAATTGGTGCTTTTTATGACGCCACTTCCACGGCACGTGGGCATTCATTACTACTTTATACTGTAGTGTAAGCAAAATGACCCTGGAGGCTTGTCGTGTTGCCTTGAGGTCCTTACTCGACCCAACTCCTTGAAGTGTGCTGTTTACATCACTTTCACAGATTGGTGTGGAAATGGAGTTTTTCAAGGCCTGGTGCTCATAATTGAATTTAGAAGCCCCAGAAGAGACGAAAACAAAGTTATGAAAGAAGAGAAAAACCGCTTTTATTTTGGACCGATTCTTTCCAGTTGCAAATATATCACTCCTTTGTTCTGTTGACATAATAATTTATTTTGGAATGGGAATCTCTGCTTATTACCACCAGACTAGGAATCTCCCCAGGGTAAACAACCAGTTAAAAGGATTTGCAAAATATGCAACTTTCCTGGGCTGCTGAGTTACTTTTCTTTCTGTCGTGTTTCCAGACCTCAAGAATTTCCCAGTCTGACGAAGACAGAGAAGGCGGCTGGGACGCCTGGGGTGCTTGGAGTGATTGTTCGCGTACTTGCGGAGGAGGAGCATCCTATTCTCTGAGGAGATGCTTAAATGGCAGGTTGGTCTTTCATATTGCACTTTGAAGTCACGAATGATACAAAACAGGAAGGGGGTGGGTGGGGGTTATTCAGAGGCCGAATCTCCCAACACAGGAGATCTGGGGTGGTTACATTAAAATCTGCTCCAGTAAAGGATAAACTAAATGGATGCAACTATGGTCTTATTCAATAATACAAGGGCTTACTGCAGGAGTGGGGGAACCTTTGACCCTTGAGATATTGCTGTTCTAGAGAGCCAGTGTCTAGTTAAACTATGAATTGTCCGCGGTATGGCCACCAACTTAAATGGCATTAATAGGAGGACAGGGCTATTGATGGCTACTAGCCACAAAGGCTAGAGGGACGCGGGTGGCGCTGTGGGTTAAACCACAGAGCCTAGGACTTGCTGATCAGAAGGTCGGTGGTTCGAATCCCTGCAACGGGGTGAGCTCCTGTTGCTCGGTCCCTGCTCCTGCCAACCTAGCAGTTCAAAAGCATGTCAAAGTGCAAGTAGATAAATAGGTACCGCTCCGGCGGGAAGGTAAACAGCATTTCCATGTGCTGCTCTGGTTCGCCAGAAGCGGCTTAGTCATGCTGGCCACATGACCTGGAAGCTGTATGCCAGCTCCCTCGGCCAATAAAGCGAGATGAGCACTGCAACCCCAGAGTCGGTCACGCCTTGACCTAATGGTCAAGGGTCCCTTTACCTTTTAGCCACAATGGCGATGTTCTTTCTCCATGGTTGGAGGCAGCAATGCTTCTGAAAGCCAGTTGTTGGAAGCCGCAAGAGAGGAGAGTGCTCTTGTGCTTGGGTGCTTCTTATGGTGGGATGCAGGTGGCGCTGTGGTCTAAACCACTGAGCCTCTTGGGCTTGCTGATCAGAAGGTCAGTGGTTCAAATCCCCGCTACGGGGTGAGCTCACCATTGCTTTGTCCCAGCTCCTGCCAACCTAGCAGTTCGAAAGCAAGCCAGTGCAAGTAGATAAATAGGTACTGCTGTGGCAGGAAGGTAAACAGTGTTTCCATGTGCTCTGGTTTCCATCACGGTGTTCCGTGCGCCAGTAGCGGTTTAGTCCTGCTGGCCACATGACCTGGAAAGCTGTCTGTGGACAAATGCTGGTTCTCTCGGCTTGAAAGCAAGATGAGCGCTGCACCCCATAATCACCTTTGACTAGACTTAACTGTCCAGGGGTCCTTTACCTTTTACTGTAGACTTTTCTTTTGGCTTTCCACAGGCATCTAGCTGGCCTTACTTTATGGCCCTGCCTCCCGTAAGATGAGTATTTGCTCATGAATAACTGGCTTGGTGCGATTTGGAGGGCTCTTGTTGTTAATCCTGTAAATCATTTGTCAAAACTGACTGCTGGTAAACAGTATAATGCTTTATGAATAATATTTCAGAAACGTCTCAGTGAGTTGTGACTTTGCACAGCTGTAAGCCTAACAGGAAAAGCTGTAACTGCTTCATCAGACAGTCATCCTTACTTAATCATCTTTTCAGTTAAATCTGAGAAGCCGTAACATATATCCAGTATTTTAGAAAATTATTTATGGGAAAGGGTAGCCTTTTAATGTTACTCTACTTGGTCATTCCTTTCAAACTTTGTTTTTTTCCAGGAACTGTGAAGGCAGGAATATTCGATATAAAACGTGCAGCAATAATGTGAGTCTCATCTGTCTTTTTGTTTGACTACTCTAATTGCCATAAAACAAAGCAGCTGTAAAGCTTCAGACATCCTACTTAGTGTTTTTTAGTTCGTTTGGTTTTTTAAAAAGAATGACAGAGCCTTAAATGTTTATTTTTGCCTAGCAGTGATGACAAAATTTGCAGGCGCAATTCCTAAACAGTTGTGCAACATGAATGCATTTTTCTTCCTATTTTGCTGCACAGGAAACAAAACTCCTTGCATTTATGTGACTCTATTCAAATAAAGTCAGCATTTAAGTCCCATTGCTTTTGATGAAAGAACGTTAAACACCTAAATGGATCAATGTGGGCTTTAGAAGTGTTTAACTTGGGCTAGATTTTGTCCCTATGCCAAAATATGTCAAGATCACCTTCTGTAAAGCCTTCCACTTCACCTGTTACTGCTCAGCAAAAACAAACACAGAAGCTAGCATGTGTTCACATATATTGATCCCCTGAAATATGAGTTATATATGACTTGCTATGTTTAACATAATGACATCATTCGCATCATTTATTTAGTAGCATCGATGGCCCTTAACGGAGCAACTCAAGCAAAAAAACAAAAAAAACCCCAAAAAAACCAGTTTCCTGCCCCAAGAATCATACAATCTGTGTTTCCGCAGTGGAAGAAAGTTACTCACGGGGCTCTAGACAAGTGTTTGCAGGGTCTGGAAGATTGGCAGTGGTAAAGATATTTCAGGGGGAATGTGCTTTGCAGGTGTCATGAGTCCCTGAAGCTACTGAAACCAGGAGCCGGGTCTGGAGAAATGCCAAAGAGATGATACAGGTGGTAGGAGGATCCAGAGTCCCCTTCACTCCTCTTTGGTAGCAGTTCCAGCATGAATGATCTACCGTATTTTCGCCCTATAGGACACACTTTTCCCCTCTCCAAAAATGAAGGGGAAATGTGTGTGCGTCCTATGGGGCGAATGCAGGCTTTCGCTGAAGCCTGGAGAGCGAGAGGGGTCGTTGCGCACCGACCCCTCTCGCTCTCCAGGCTTCAGGAAGCTCTGCGCAACCCTCGGGAGACCGGCTCCGAGGGTTGCACAGAGCTGCCTGCAGTCCCGGGCTCAGCGCAGCTCTGCGCGGCCACCGGGAGCCGGGCGTGAAGTCCCGCCCCACTCCCGATGGCTGCGCAGAGCTGCCTGCAGTCCTGGGATCAGCGCACTTCTCCCCATCGCCAGCCCCACAAGCTCGGAGGACAGCGGGGAGGCAGAGCGCGCCTTCCCGCTGTTCCCTGACCTGGTTCTTCCAGCCCCGCACCTGGGGGGGAAATAAAAATTTTTTTCTTTACCCCCCCCCAAAAAAAACTAGGTGCGTCCTATGGGCCGGAGCGTCCTATGGGGCGCATAATACGGTATCTAGCAAAATCCGGCTCAGAGTCTCTAGTGCCTCCCCAAGGAAACCAGTGCAACAGAAGCTGTGGAAAACACAGCCCAAGTTCTAGCTCCTCCTGAGATGCCTAGACAGGGAGCTGTGATCTGCATTTCTCAGACACCACATAACATATGGAAGCCCTCAGAATAGTTTAGAGATAGTGACCCGTTTGTCAGCAGGGGCATGTAGCTGAAGGTCAGGGTAGCCTACCATTGGATTTTGCAATCCTCATTATATTCCTGTTTAATTTTGGCTTTTTGTTGTACGTAGATTGTTGGATTGTTACCTCTCCTCCTTTACAAAGGGTGTGTGTGTGTGTGTGTGTGTGTGTGTGTGATACTAGATGTAGAAACACCAGGGACGCTAGACAGTGTTGTGCAAGGAGAAGCAGCGAAAAACATAAAGCTCACTTTGCGCTTCATTCCAACCTGGTGCCTGGGCTCTGTGTTAACTCCACAGTTGTGCACCCTTTGCTACTCGTTTTAGAGCAAAGCTGTCATTTTTATGATGCAACAATAGCGCTCTTTGGTCCAAGATCTGGAAACGATCTGTGCGCCTTTGCAAATGCAGTTTGTAAAATAAACTGCCGGCGGTTTTCTTCTTGTCCAGAGCTAAACTGTCTGGTGGTGGCTCTGTGGATCGTCTCCCACATCTTCCCCCCAGAATTTCGTTGCTTTTGTATAAGGTTCTGCTTTGTTTTCTAGTTGGTAAAGTGCTCTACTGATGCACATTGTTGTGGACTCTCCTTCTGGAGCCAAACATGCAAAGAGCCAGAGAGTCAGAATATAGGAGACTAAAGCCAAGAATTAATCCAAAGTCAGAATCAGGAATGTGTGCTGGATTGGAGCCTGGGGCTGGGGGGGTGGGGAAGGATTGCACCACAGCTAGGATAGGACTGCAAGCCAAGAGAACAAGTCTAAGCAAGATAGGAAACAAGACATAATACCAGGTACAGGAATTAAAGCATTAGGGTGGTGTCAGGAGTCATGGAAAGTTCCACAAGGTAAAGCCAGGAGGAGGAGGAGGAAATGCGGGTTCAACAATAAAAAGTAGCTGCTTGGTAGCAGCCTGTGGCACTTCCTTGAGGTGCTCCCCCCCTGAAGCAGTGCTTGTACATTGCCTTTTCACACACCCCAAGGATCGTCAGTGGATCACTGTTCCAAACTGGAGCTGCTCCAGGGGACAAAACAGAGGGTGGGCATGCAGAACCTTCCCTTCCCATATGAAATATACTCGGAGTCCTGTACTGATTTCATGCTCTTTATTGCAGCTTGTAAAACAGTGATTGAATTGCCCTTCAAACCTCAGGCTTTTATATACATTATTTACACAATGAGTCCCATCTGATTGGCTGATTCTGCTTCCCTCCTGGAGCCTGATTGGTCTTTTCCTGCAGGCCAATCAGTTGTTGCATTCTACGATCCTACCAGCCTAATAGGCTGATCAACTTCCTCCTGGAGCCTGATTGGTCTTTTCCTGCAGGCCAATCAGTTGTTGCATTCTATGATCCTACCAGCCTAATAGGCCGATCAACTTCCTCCTGGAGCCTGATTGGTCTTTTCCTGCACGCCAATCAGTTGTTGCATTCTAGGATCCTACTTGCCTATTGTTCTAGGATCCAAGTTTAGTACATAACACCATACCATTACTGCTTTAAGATATACTATCAATCAAGTGCCGGGTTGAGGCACCTGTGACCCTCCCAGGTCTCTTTGGATTACAGTTCCCATCATCCCCACGCATTGGCCATGCTGGCTGGGGCTGGCAGGGACAACCAGAGGTCTGCCACGGCTGATCTAATGCAAAAAATGCTAGGAGTCTTGAACGAGGGAGCTTGGTGACCATTTTCAGACCGCTAATACCATGGGGTGCCAAACTGGTCCATGGCCATCTGAGCTTCATTCAGCTGGTCCATGACATACCCCTATTAAATATGCACACAGTGGTGCCCCGCAAGACGAATGCCTCACAAGACGAAAAACTCGCTAGACGAAAGGGTTTTCCGTTTTTTGAGTCGTTCCGCAAGACGAATTTCCCTATGGGCTTGCTTTGCAAGACGAAATGTCTTGCGAGTTTGTTTCCTTTTTCTTAAAGCCGCTAAGCCGTTAATAGCCGCTAAGCCACTAAGCCGTTAAGCCGTTAATAGCCGCTAAGCCGCTAATAGCCGCTAAGCCGCTAATAGCCGCTAAGCCGCTAATAGCCGTGCTTCGCAAGACGAAAAAACCGCAAGACGAAGAGACTTGCGGAACGGATTAATTTCGCCTTGCGAGGCACCACTGTAATTAAAATAATTAAAATGCTGATCCTATAACACGATGAGAAGGACAAGCCCTTCCTTACTCCACTAGAGGTCTGATAATGATTGCCCCATGAGCATCTCCCAGGGAGAGCACTGCACAGAAAGGAATGGGGAATACCACTGCAAAAACCTATTGTCTTTTGGCCACCCTTTTGTGGGTGAGGCATGCAGAGATTTCTCAGCCAACTTGCTTTCCTGATCAAAGCTGCTTCTCCCCACCCCAGCTGTGTGCTCCACAAGGGGGAAAATAACGGGATTATTTTTTGTCCGGAAAACAGCACCAGAGCAAAAGGGTTAAATGCCTCCTTCCCCACTGTTGCTGCGCCCCAGTCAAATTAACTGCCCTCTGCAGCAGCATTATTCAATTCCCCCATTCCATCCATCCTTAGTCAACATCTCTCCTAGATTCTGGAATTAACACTAGGCAGTGAATATACACTTTAAAAATATTTTGGCACTCCAGTTTTATAATGCTGTTTTATTGCTTCTGTGCATTATCTGCCTTGACATTATTATTTCTTTAAAAAACAACAACAGGCTTTAAATAAATAACAATGAGAACTAGAAACTTGCTTTTAAAAATGTTTGAAGGTGGTTAGGACATTGAAATCTCCAGCCCATGTTACATCCAGTGACTTTTCTGCAGCTCCATGGGAATCATGGCACAAACTCAGTGCTTGCTTATAAATATAGTGTGTGTTTCCTGGACTCGGTGGTGGAGTACCGTTCTGAAATATGACTGTTACACCCTCCAGTGGGAGGTTCTGCTTAGTGGATGTATTGAATCATTTTAATCTCTCATAAAACTAGCCAGCTCCTCGCCCACTTTTATAAAAGCTGGCTGGTGCCAAATGGCTTCTCCACCAAGACAGCGCACAAGTCTTGTAAAGAAAGACGTTGAGTCGCTACAGTCTCCCCTCCTCCTTTTCCCTTGGATGGGTTTTGGAAGGCTTGAGCCACATAATGGAGCAAACTGCTGGCATCTACCAGTGGAACAAACACTTGGGTGAGTCAAGTCCGGTAGATGAAAAAAAAACCTCCGATATCAGATACAATTCCTAATTGCTCCCTCTTTTTGCAAATAAGACCCACCTGTCTTGTTCCATTTCGTCCTGCTTTGCCATCTGTGCATTACATTTAATTCTGAGTTGTCTGATACACTCTCAGGCCAAGATCATGGGAAATACACAAAATTCACATATGTTCGGAATATGAATATGAATATATATATATATATATATGCAGGTTTTGGTGTCCTCGGGTGTCTTCCCGTGTAAAAGTTGGGGTGTCTAGGCGA